GCCTCAGTTTCCTCACCTGTAAAATGAGCTGGAGAAAGAAATGGCAAACCAGTATCTTTGCCAAGAAAACTCCAAACAGAGTCATGAAGCGCCAGACATGACTGGAAATGATTGAATAACTTCCCCTTTATTTTCTTCACACCCTTTAAGTACTCATTACTTCTTACTTAAACTCCTAATTAGTCTCCCTGCCTCAAATCTCTTCCCACTACAATCCATTCTTCACCCAGAGGTCTTGAACTCTCTACCTGCATCCAGAAAACTCCAGAGTACAGCCTGAACTAGATTAAAATGTAATTGGGAAATATTTAACAAAATAAAAATACAATATAGCATAATGCCAATTTGTGATTTTCCACAAATACACCAAGAAAACAGAGGTTCTCCACCAGCCATGTATGGAATCATTGGTTACAGCAAATGGGGAAATTTTGAATACTATGGATAAGTTAACTTTCTTTGGCAGTATACTTTCTAAGGCTGTCCACATAGATGATGAGGTTGATACACACATTGCCAGGACTAGCTCAGTGTCTGAGAGTGTCCGAAGGAAATATTGGGAGTGAAGAGATATTAGGCTGCCTACCAAACAGAAGATCTAGTGAGCCATTGCACTGACTTCATTGTTGTATGCCTGTGAAACCTGGACAGCAATATCAGTGCCTAGCCAGAAGACTGAACCACTTCCATTTGAATTGTCTTAAGAGGATTCTGAAGATTATTTGGCAAGATAAGGTAGCAGACCCTGAGGTCCTCTCTCAAGCTGAATCGCCAAACATTCAAACTCTACTATGGAGTCTACTACTCCAATGGGCTGGCCATGCTTGAATGTCAAGCAGTAAGTTTGCCTAAAAGACTATTTTATGGAGAATTTGCAAAAGGCAAATGCTGACATGGAGGTCAGAAAAAGCAAACAATACAAAGATACTCTCAAGGCCTCTCTGAAGAATTTTGGAATTGATTGTGAGACATGGGAGACACTGGCACAGGACTGCCCAGCATGGCTTGCCCACATCAAAGAAGGTGCTGTGCTCTATAAGCAAAGCAGAATTGCAGTAGCTCAGAAGAAACGTGAGGTGCACAAATTTAGAGACATCTCCACTGCAAACTTTCATATGGATTATTTGTGCCTGACCTGTGGTAGAACCTTCCAAGCTCTTATTGCTCTGATCAGCCACATTTGGACTCACTATACCAGGGGTGGAGAACCTGTGACCTTGGGGCCACATGTGGCCTTCTAAGTCCTTTTGACTGAGTCCAAGTTTTATAGAACAAATCCTTTTATTAAGGGGACCTTGAGGGCTACCTGTGGCCTTGAGTCCACAGATTCCCCAACCCTGCACTATACCTTGACCTCGATATAGTGATGTCATTTTGGTCCTCTTTGAGTATGAAAGACAATATTATTCTACCAGGGGATCCTTTTTTTTTTTTTTTAGTTTAACTCCGTTGTTCTATTGCCAAAGTAGTTTCCCTAAAGGTAGGGCTGACCATGTCATCCACCCACTTAGTAAAGTCCATTGGCAACCTATTACTTCCAGGATCAAAGAGAAATTTCTCTGTTTGATTTTTAAAGCCCTTTACAACCTGTTCCCATCCTGTGTTTCCAGTCTTACATTTTATTCCCTTCCCTTTACTTGAAAGCATGGACCTTGCTGTTCTTCACACGTGACACTTCTTCTCTGGTCTCCCTGCCTTTCTACCGGCTGTCCCTCATGTTTGGAACGCTCTCCCTCCCCCCTCCGAATCCCTGACTTCCTTCAAGATTCAGCTCAGACATCTTCTGTAAGAGGCCATTCCTGATTCCCAAACTGGTCGCAGCCCCAAGCTACCTTTCATCCACTCTACACATCGCTCATGTACCTAATTATTTACATGCCATCTTCTCCACTTGAATGCTGTCTCCATGAAGACAGGGACTCTTTCTGCCCTCCTTTTATCCAGCACTTAGAATAGTAAGTAATTGAACGTTTATGTTGTAAATGTTTAATAAATTCTTGGTGAATGAATGAGAAGAAGAAGCATTATTAAGCACCTGTTTACCACAGATTGCTGTTCGGTCATTTTCAGTTATGTCTGACTCCAAGACACTGCAGTGGTTTGCCATTTCCTTCTCTAGCTCATTTTATGGATGAGGAAACTGAGGCAAACAGAGTGAAGTGACTTGCCCACTCACAGCTAGTGTCTGAGGCCAGATTTGAACTCAGATCTTCCTGACTCCAGGCCTAGCACTCTATCCACTGTGCCACCTAGCAGCCCTATTTATTGGAGAAGGAAATGGCAACCCCCTCCAGTATCTTTGATAAGAAAGCCCCATGGGCAATATTAATGTGCTAGGTCCTTGGGATCATAAAGAATCAGACACTGAATGATTGAACAACCAAAGCACCTATTATGTGCCAGGGATTGTGTTGAGGGTTTTACAAATATTATCTCATTTAATTCTCACAACTCTTGAGTTCTCTGAGGGTTCAAAAAGGAATCATTCAGTTCAGGGAAATCACATACACTCTTGAAAAGATCTAGGTCCAAGTACAAAGGAAGAAAACAAACATTTATTAAGCACCTATTATGTGCCAAAGCCCTTTACAAATATTATTATTTCATCCTCACAACAACCCTAGGAGGCAGGGGCTATTATTATTCCAATTTTACAGTTGAGGAAACTGAGGCAAACAGGTTAAGTGAATGAATGAATAAATGAATGGTTTTACAAGCCAGGAAGGGTATTCCTTCGTCAACAATTCTTGTCCAGTAGGTGTGGTGTGGGTTCCCCTTTTCAGAGCAATTGATGAACTTTTATTGAGAGTCTACAGTCTAGAGAGTACCACATTTAGGCTCTGAAAAAGGAATCATAATCTCTACCTTTATCATTCAGTTCAGGGAAATCAAATATATTCCTGAAAAGATCTAGCTACAGTTACAAAGAAAAAAACCAACCATTTATTAAGCACCCATTACATATCATTTCATCCTTACAACAACCCTGGGAGGTGGAGGCTATTTTTTATTATTATCCTCATTTTATAGTTGAGGAAACTGAGACAGATTGAGGTTGAGTGACTTGCCCTGTGTCATGCTGCTAATGTTTCCCAGGTCTTCCTGACTTTAGGCCTAGGGCTCTGAGCAGCATACCAGCTAGCTGCCTCTAGCAATGTATCAACTGAAAACAAATATATTAATCCAATTAAATGTGGGTTAACCAAGAAACTGTGAAAAGAAAGAATCATCAGAGCACAATAGGTTGCATACATATAATTTTTCTTGGATTTAAATAATAATTTGCTACCTCTCTATGAAGATATTAAAATCAGAGTGTGGGCAATGGCATAGCTAGAGGACATATGTTTAAGAGGGAGACTTGTCAAGGCCTCATCTTCAAACAGCCATTCTCACTCGCTTTGTGGGTCCATTTAAGATTACATTAATCTCTTTCCACGGACGTGGAAAACATCATCAATAACACATGGTCAGTGCCCCGTGGGAGTCTGTATCTAGATGTAGCGTGTCATGATTTTTAACTAGTAGTTTTTCAGCATCCATAAGCATATATTGGATACTTACTTGTACAAGTGTGTTAAATACAATCCCTGCCCTCTAAGAACTCACACTTCCAAACAGACAGCACCAGTACAGAGCAACCCCAGAAGTGACTACTGACAAACAGAGAATTCACACAACCGAGAGATGATGTAACAACACCCAGAGCCAGTTTCATGAATAATAGATTGTAAATCCCTAGAGAACAGACAACATCTCTATTTGAATCCATTTGTAAGGCCTCCCAAATAGTACCATGAGCAGAAAGGCATGTAATCAATATTATATGTGATAGTGATGAAATGTTCAACGCAGGCTTTTTTGTTTGCGTGTTTGGTGTCTGGGAGAGTTCATGGAAAAGAGGGCATTCTTAAGAGGTCTTTGAAACAGTGGAAGGAATTATAAAGCTTCAAACATAGGGAAGAACATTTGTAAATGGAAAGTCAGGAGAAAAGAGTTTGGAGATAGAATTATTTTTTTTAAATTGTGGAATAAAATATCTCCAAAGGCACCTCCTTCTGCTTACTCAAATTAGCACGTCTCTTTCTGTTGATACAAAGAAATAGGAATAAAGTAGGAGTTTGTACCTAAATAACTTGAAACCAAGAAACAGTAGATACAAAGCCTCTGGAAGACTGAAACTAGGTCTATGTAGTTTACAGTGTACACAGTGCTTTGCCCAATATGTGTTTTTTTTTTTTGAGGATGACAGTGATGATAATGACCTCAGGCTGTGTCTAGAAAAAGAAGTCTGGCAATGGTTTGCCTCAGTGTAGAAAAACAAATCAAATAATTCAGGTATGCTCTGTACCAAGACATCTCCAACAAAATCTTCAGGCCGTGAATTACTCATCTGACTGGCTAGCAATATTAATCCTTTTAGAAAATTCTAACCTTAAACCACTGATAAAATGGACATTTCCAGTCCCATAGTAGAACAGATAAAAAGGATTGTATGTAGTAAAACTTATCAAAGGAACCAGTTGAGTAGGTCAGAAAAGGAGAGTTCAATTCTTGCCTTTTGTCAGCTTCTGGGTCTCTGTTTACAAATCTGCAAAAGACTGGATCGGCTCTATGGCCCCTTTCAGCCCTTAGTACTATGATCTTAATATTGAATCTCTGTTTCTCTTCATGATTATCTAGTCCACTGCTTTTAAAATACAAATATGTATTTAATATTCAGGCATGTTCTTTGTAATGTAGTGTTTGTCTTCTGAAACACGGATCTAGCTTCTTGTGAGTAACAAAAAAACTAACAATAGTATGAAAAGTATCCTAGCTGAGAACCTGCTGCTGCCATACCTGGATTGTCTCCAAGGAGGAAAGTAGTGAGGGAGTAGAGAACCTGATGTTTCAGAGTATTGGGGTGGGATGTTTATTTAAATATTTTCCTCTCACCTAAAAACTGAACTTTTCTACTTTAAATTGTAAGCTTAAATGATGCTTTTCTCCCACCCTAGAGTCCAACTGGTTGCCTCATCTGTGAAGGCAAGATGAGTAAGGCAAGCATCAAAAAGAGAGGCTCCACTTTTGAATCTGTCTCCACTGAAACAGTGTCGTCTGGCTCGTTTTCTCAGGTTTATGGCCTAAATCATTTTCTGAAATGTGTGAGAGGATGTGAAGTTCAAAGTCCTCCCACTGGGATACTGCAATGTACTAGTCTGTCCCTCATTTGCTTCCTTTCCCATCTGGATGGTTTTGCTTCAAACTTCCTGACTTCAGTCAATGTTGAGGACCTGAGCTTGACTTTTCTGAGTTGCTGCCATCTAGCAATTTGCTCCTTTTAAAAATAGGTTTCCCATAGACAGGCAGGAACCTTGGTCAACTTTACATCATTTTCTCATCTTCACATGTTAAAAATGTCAACAGACATTTTCCTACTAGAACAATTTTGTTCAGTTCAATAAACATTTAAAGTTGGCACTGGAGGAGACCCCAAGATAAAAACACAACATTGGTTTAATTTCAATGTCCCATTTGGAAGACAATTGCTATTACTTCCCCCAGTTCAGGGATGTTCAAAAAAAAAAATGAAGACCCAGAATTGGTGCATGACATTTTCCAAGCTCCAAGAGCAGAGCAGGTTAAGGTCAGCGCTAAAATGAATAGTCTGGTAAGATTAAGCTGGGGAGTGTAGTGAGTTAATCAGTAAGCATTTATGAAACACACGCTATGTACCAGACACTAAGCGGTGTACTAATTAGTGGCTCCCAGTAGATAGATGAATTAAGTAATTTATCTTCTTGCAAGGAAAGAAAAAGGAAGCATAAGGGTGGGGGTAGTTGAAAAAAAGGGAAAGAGTGTGGTTTTTTTTCCCCAAACTGATCCCACCTCATTTTAATCTGTTGTAAGGAGCTGCCTCTCTGTTAAATCAAACAGCAGTCACTTAGTCTATTGCAAATAATCAGGTTGCCAGCCAAAGCCAGACCAACTGCCTGTTGTTCCCTGGAGCAGCTCCCAGTTCCTAGGTAACCCTTATTGCCACGGGAAAGTTGTGATTTGCATATGTAATCATTTTTAGCCACTGACTAGTATTTAAATAGGCTGGAAAAAAATTATAGAATAGAACATGCAGTTGAAATTCAATCTGTAGTTTTGTATTTAAGTTGATGCATGGTAGATTGTGAAATTGTCCAAGTGGCTTGTAATTTTTGAAAGTTCAAATTAGTATGTGAAGGGATTTTCCATCAGCCAGTAGAAGTAGTATTTCATTTCCTCAATTCATATTAAAAAGTTTCCTTTCCAATAATGGAAGGAGGGAGGAAGAAAGAGAGAGAGAGAGAGAGAAGAGAGAGAGAGAGAGACAGAGACAGAGACAGAGACAGAGACAGAGACAGAGACAGAGAGAGACAGAGAGAGACAGAGAGACAGAGACAGAAGGAGAGAGAGAGTCAGAGACAGAGAGAGGGAGAGAGACAGAGAGACAGAGACAGAAGGAGAGAGAGAGAGAGAGAGAGAGAGAGAGAGAGAGAGAGAGAGAGAGAGAGAGTCAGAGACAGAGAGAGGGAGAGAGAGAGAAACAAAAAAGAAGAAAGGAAAGAAGGAAGAAAAAGGGGAGAAAGGGAGGTAGAAAGAAAGGAAGGAAGAAGAAAAAAAGGAAAGAAAGAAGATGATAAAACATTAAATGCTAAAAAAGTGCTGGAAGTAGAAAAAGAAACAAGCAAGCAAGACAGCCCCTACCCTGGAGGAGCATCCATTCTGGGGGCACATAAAAGAGATCCAGAAAGTGGGGGCACAGGAGAAGGTACTTGAACAAAGGCAAAGCTTCTGGTGAGAAGGTGCAATAGTCCAGAGAGTGAGAAAGTAAAGCCAGAAGAGAAATGAACATGGCCTGTGTGCCTCAGGAAATGGTGATTTGGGCCAGGGATCACCAATCAGGAAAGTGGGTTTCAGAGAGGAAGCTTCTGCAGGGAGGGAAGGCCAATACATATGCTGAAGGTGATTTTCACAGGAACAAAAGCCAGGCATGCTTTCAAAGTCTAGAGAGCATCAATTAAAGGTTATAGGGGAAGTTCCAATCACCAGACTTGGTGGTGAATCCGTGGAGCCCCTGCCCCTGGGAAGTCTGGGACTGATGGATTCATTGAGTTTGGAAGTTCTGGGTTACAGGAGTACTAAAGCTGATTTGACATTCACACTGTCTGCCACCAATTGGGTGAGTCCCTGGGAGTGGGGGACCACCAGGGTGCCTAAGAAAGGCCAAATAGCTCAAGTTGGAAAGAAAGCAGGTCAAAGCTTCTGTGGTGATCGGCAGTGGGATTAGGTTTGTAAGTGGCCCCTGCACTTGCAGCCTGGGTGAGAAAGAGAGACCCAGATTTTTAAAAAAGCATCAAATCATATATGTGGTAAACACTGTGTACTTTAAATGTTAGCTCACATCTGGACAGGTGCCCCCTTGTATACAGCCTTGTCAGCGGCACAGACTACTAATGCCATCCTCAAACAATGGAGTTTACCTCTGTGAGAACCTTAAATGGAACCAATTGGCAAAGCAGTCTATGATGATTGCTTTGCTTCTAAACCACAATATTCAGTCCTGGGAAATTCAAAGAGAGATAGATATTCAATAACCTTAGGAAGGCATTTATTTTCATTCTTTAATTGGGTGGGTTTAGTAATAGCATTGAAAATAAGCAGCCCATTTTGACATAATCTTTTTCTTCTTTAAAAAAATAAAAACCAGCTACAGAATATGAGTGCAAGCAACAAAAGCATCCATACTCCACATTCAGAAATGCCAGAGGTCAATGGAAATGACACACCTGTGACTGAAGGTAGGCAACATACCAGCTTCTGCCGTGTATAGAATAGAATTCAAATCTCTTTCCATGAAGTCACCATTTAGTTCCGTCAGGATGAGGACTGCACTTGTGATTTTGTTGGTACAGGTAAGAGGACTGCCTCCACCAATGGAAGGGGCATCTTCCCTGCTATTTATAGCCCTGTAGAGCTTCTTGGAATGCTGAGAGATGAAACGTTTGTCCAAGGTCAAGAGGGCAGTATTTGAACTTGAACCCAGGGCTTAGTGTTTTTGAGACCGGCTCTTACTCTACTATGCCCCGCTGACCCTTTCTTTTCCCTTGAATCCGTATAGAACTTTGGTGTATCACTTTACGAAAACTTTTTTTGGAGGGGGTTCTGAACCTGTGTAGGGAATTCCCAGTGTAGAAATTCTCGCTGCAGATGGAGATCAACAACTTACTTATAACCTACAATACTAGAAGAGTGCTTGGGGCACATAACGAGGCTCAGTGACTTGCCCAGAGCCAGATTCAGAACTTGAGTCCATGTCTTCCTGACTTTAGGGCCAGCCCTCTGTCTAGTATACAACCATTGCCACTCAATTTATGAAAACATAGGTCTTATTTTAATGCCCTCTAGTAAATGAGTTCCAAAAATAATTTGTTCTTTATGTATTTATTGTTTAGTCATTTTCAGTTGTGTCCAACTTCTCATGACCCCATAGGGTCCAGATACTGGAGTGGTTTGCCATTTCCTTCTCTAACTCATTTTACAGATGAGGAAACCAAGGCAAGCAGGGTTAGGTGACTTGCCTAGGGTCACACAGTAAGTGTCTGTCTTGAATTCAGGAAGATCAGTCTTCCTGACTCCAGGCCTGGCATTCTATCTAATGCACCAACCTACTGCCTTTTTTTAAGTATTAGCATAATACAATTTATTAGATACACCTTCATCTTCTAATTTTCGGTAGCCTTTCACATGGTAGAAGTCTGTCACATTTTGTATGTTGTTGGTTCAGCTTCAATGAACATTTCTTCAAACGCTTCCTATGGACAGAACATGCAGGACACTGAGGAATATTTGAAGATTAAATAAGAAATGATCTCTGCCATCCTGGAGCTCATTACCTAAGAAATGATGGATGGAGGGCACAAGACATACACAAAGCTATGACAGCTGTACCAAAGTACAAGGGCTTGTTCATCAGCCGGTGGTTGTTCCCATACTTCCTCTTGTCCTCTGGTCTGCCCCCGCACAGCTCTTAGAGCCCCTCCCTCCCACTGTTAGCCCCCCATACAGTCTCGGGTCTTCCTAGCCCATTTCCATTCCAGTCTGTCCCAGCCCTGCTTTCCTCCCTGGACGGGAAAGCCTGATGATGCACACAGTTTGGAAACTTACAGGGATGATCCAGAGGAGGCCTTTTCCACACGCAGAGGCCCTCTTCCTCAGGCCTTGGCTACTTTGGTGGAATCATTTGCAGAGGCAATAAAAGCACATCCTTTGTACATGTCCAGTTTTTAAAAGTTGCATTTTCATTTTAGGTTACTTTTCTCAATAAAGTACTTCTGTCTTTTAAATAATGCTCTTATGTTTAAATCAAGTCAATGTTATTATTTAATATTTTTAAAAATACTGTAAGATACATAAATAAATGTACACACATGTATCTACATATGTGCGTGTGTAGAGGCAGCTAGGTGGTGCAGTGAATAGAGCAACAGGCTTGGAATCAAGACCTGAGTTCAAATCTAGCTTCAGCCATATGTCACTGTCACTTCACTTCTGTCTCAGTTTCTTCATCTGTAAAATGGGGGTGATGATACTAATACCTACATCCCAAGGTTTTTATGAGGATCAAATGAGATAATATTTATAATGTGCTTAGCAGAATATCTGCTCATAGTAAGAATTATATGAATGTGCACTGTTATTACACACATACAGATATATACATGTACTACCAAATATATACAGAGTTGGAATCTTGGTATAGTGGCTAGAGAGCTGATCTTGAAACTCAGAAGACCTTGGTCATGTCCTTCCTCTGACATATCCTATCTCTGTAACCCTAAGGCAAGCCCCTTAGTGCCCCAGGCATCTAAGACTTTAAATTGTAGAGAAAGTGCCAACTTGCATTGATGGAGGCAGTTTCCTCACCTGGAAGGTCTCCATACAAATGAAATCACAGATCTAGTTCCTATTCCTCATCTCTATCGCTAAGTTCCATCTCTCCCTCTCTCTCTAGCTCTTTCTCTCATTCTGTCTTTCTATCTCTGTCTTTCTCTGTCTCTGTCTCTTTATCCATGTCTATATCTATGTCTGTATCAGAAGTTTCCAACAATTTTCTACCCAGGGCTTCAATATGCTGATTGGACAGTTCTATTGGACAGGCATCACTTTATCTAAGTCCTTTCTCACCTGTCATTGAAGGGCTCAGCTTTACAAATCTATTTTTTCACTCTGAACCTGACTATTTCACTTGGGAAGACTATTACTGCTCAAATTTATAGAATTCTTTTGAGTTTTAACAAAGCACTAAATCATCTATTTTAATCAGCCTGAATTCAAATATGGATTGTCTAGGTCAGGAGCTCTTAACCTGGGGTCAGTGAACTTGGATTTTTTTTTTTACTATTTAGATAACTGTATTTCAATAAAATCGCTTTCCTTTGTTTTATATTTAAAAACATGAGTTGGAGAAGTGGTCCCTGGACTTCTCCAGACAAATCCTGAGGAGTCTGTGACCCCAAAAAGGTGAAGAAGTCTGGCTTTAGATGTAAAGCTTCCATCTCTGTCTAGGCCAGGGTTGGGGAACCTGAGACCTCAAGGCCTCATGTGTCCATCTAAGTCTTCACACTTCAAACTGAATCCAAACTTTACAGAACAAATTCAGATTCAGTCAAGGGGCTGCACTTGAGGACCTAGAGGGACACATGCAGCCTCAAGGCTGTAGATTCCCCACCCCTGGTCTAGGCCTTCTTTATCCTCTGCCCTTCTGAAAAGCATCACTGCTCCAGATAGATAAGGCATTTGTGCTCATGCATTGACACTTTCTGTGATTACATTTGTGAATAAGCCTTATTAACATGTGAAATTCCTGGGTTGCTGGTGGTTTTTTATTGGGGGAAGAAGGAAGTTTCACTGATATATTGTCAGTTCTGACAATTGGCCAACTCTGCAGTTGCTGGGTGGATCATCTAATTCATGGTTGCCTGAGGGTATTTTACAAATCAACATCTGTTCGATAACTGTTAAAGCTGATGCTCCCAGCCCTCTATTCTAAGTGTCCTTTTTGTATTTGGAGAAGTGGTGGCAGGGAAGGAGCTATTGCCATTTCTATGTGTCCAGAGAGGCTTGTTTTTTTGATTACTGTAACTCTCAGCTGAAAAATGAACCCTAGCACCTTCTCAGGTATCCACAAGCATACATTAAAAGACATCCAGGATACTTGGGTGTTCAGTGAACTGCAGTGGCTCCCTATCACGGGAACGATGAAATTCCTCCGCTTGGTTTAAAGCCTTTCCCAGGTCGGCTCCGTTTCCAGAGCAGTCTTCTTGGACTGGACACTTAACCTGGCCAAACTGGCCTGCTGCCTGTTCCTCAGACGTGGTGCTCCCCCATGCGTCTCCTTGCCTTTGCAGGGGCTGTCTCCCCTGTCTGGAATGTCCTCCCTTTTCCCCTTCACTCCTTAGAATCCCTTGTCTCCTTCACAACTCAGCTTAAACACCACCTCCTCCACGAAGCCACTCCTGCTGCCTTTCCTTTCCCCCCACCCAATTACCTTATATCTGTTTTGTGTATATGTCTATGAGTATATGTGGTCTCTCTCGGATGGTTTCACTATAACTTTGGATCTCCAGTGCCCAGCAGCCTAACACCATGCCTGCTGCTGTAGAGGAGTTTGATAAATGTTTGTTGATTGATTGAGACTCTCCAAAGTGTCAAATGAATTCTTCACAGCTTTGTCAATACCTACTGTCATTCTTAGGTCTGTAAGCATTTGGAGAATATTTCCCAGGAACCTATCAATTTTGACACTTAGAATATTTCCCATACACAGCCACAAGCAAAAAAAAAATTGCAGAAGTTTGGGTAGCTTTTTGGGAAGAAGAGGAAGGATATTCATTTTCATAGTTATTGAATTTTATAGAATCACGGAATTTTAGTGTTAGAAGTGTCCTCAGTAAACACCTCTTCCCTATAACATAACAGAAAAGTGGTTATCCAATCTCTGCTTGAAGACCTTCAAAGAGTGTAAACCTACCAATCAATCAGATAGCCAATCAATGAGCATTTATTACACTCCTACTGGGCATCAGACCCTGCTGAGAGATACAAAGACAGATGCAAAACAGTCCCTGCCCTCAAGGAGTTTACTTTCTAAGGGACGGCAAGATGTAAACACGTAAATGTACCTGATACACATGATACACACAGAATAGATGAAAGGTGACTTGAGGAACAGACACTAAGCAGCTTGGGGGGACCAGGAAAGGCTTCCTGCAGAAGATGGTGCTTGAGCCGGGTCTTCAGAGAAACCAGGGGTGGATTCCAAGAGATAGGTATGAGGAGCACGAAGATAGTTAATGCAAAGGCGTGGAGGTGGGAACAGTAAACAGGCCAGTATGACTAGATGGCAGAGTGTGCAGAAGGAGGTAATGTGTAAGAAGATGGGAACCGTAGGAAGGGGCCAAGCTGTAGAGAGCTTTGAATGCCAGACCGAGGAGTTCATATTTGATCCTAGAGGTAATTGGGAGACATTAGATTTTACTGGGGCAGCTAGGTGGCCCAGTGGATAGAGTGCTGGGTGTGGAGTTCAGAGGACCTGAATTCAAATCCTCCCTCAAACACATACTAGTTGTGGGACCTTGGGCAGGTCACTTAACCCATTTGCCTCAGTTTCCTCATCTGTCAAATGAGCTAGAGAAGAAAAATGGCAAATTATTCCAATCTCTTTGCCAAGAAAACCCCAAATGAGGTCATGAAGATTCAGACACGAATGAAAACAACTGAACAAAGTTTCCTGAATAAA